CAGCACAGCCCGGCATGCACGCCTGAACTGGCGGAAGACCGGGAATATCGGGTGGCCGGGCGCCTTGGCCACCTTGCCACTGCAGCCAGCATAGGACCTTGGCGTGGGTGCAAAAAACCCCCGGGTCTTTGGAAACCTGCGTCAAATATCCCTGCAAACCACACGCAGCCGTGGCGCCCCTCCGCCACGCGCACTCGGCTTCCCAGTCGGCCGACCGTGCTCTCGAGCACGGCATCCTCCTTGAAAGGCCAGCATTCCTCCAGCGAGGTCGCCTTGTCTTCTGCCAACGTTCTCGCTGTGTAATGCTTCTCGTGCACCTGCACTGGAACTGCACATCTTTTAATCTTTTCAGCCCGTGGCACATGTCACAACCTCGAATCAGCTACAAGTAGCAGGTAGCAAATAAGCGTTGGAATTACTGCTGGCTGTAGCCTGCATGACAACAGCGTACCGCAGCCGCAGACTCTTCGGCAGGATCGTATCGCTGAGGACCACAAGGTCTCCCACCTTGGCGCAGTTAAAACGAAAAACCTCAGCGCCATACTAAGAACACGATCCGATACGTTTTGGTAGGGCTTCCATGAAGCATGCGCAGCCTATATGAAGGATTTTGTTGGACTTATCTGAAGAAGCGCTGTGCATCAAGGACCTCAAAGGCAGTCTTGATCAGCTTACCTTGCGCCCTCCCCGCCTCTGGTTCGCCCATCGGCTTCTTGGGGACCTTGAAGCCCATTCCGCCGAGCTCCGCCATCAGCGCCTGAAGCGCTTCCAAGGCCTCAGCCTGGCCCGGAAGTTCCTGCGGAAGTTCCGGCGGTGGGCTAGCGTCTTCTGCGGGCTCTGGAACCGGCTCTATAGCCGGCTTCGGAGCGGCCTCGGGAACGTCGGCGTCTGCTTGGCAAGCTGTTTCATCTTGAAGTTCCATGAAAGGCCTTGCCGGGCCATACGAGACAGGCCTACCCTTCGGGTAGACCAGCTCGGGAGCCGGGGCAAGGGCTTCAGCAACCGCGTTCGTTGCTTCCATTGTCTCACATGCGTCAGTCACATCAACTGGAGCCTCAGTCAGCTCGACTGAGTCGTCTGGGGCAGGCTCGCCTGCTCCAGCTTGAGGCAACCCCGTCTTGGGGTGAGCCACAGCCGGTGCCCTCGGCGGCCCGAGAAGGTGAGGCAGCTGCATCGCCGCAGCTGCCTTCACCACCACACTGGCAGGCTTCACTACCACACGAATGGTGCGCCGAGTCACCAAACCAGGTGCTTGCACCGGCCTTGCCACCACGCGAATCGTGCGGCGAGTCACTACGACAGGTGCTGGCTGCCATCCCCAAGCATAGGTTGGGGCGCCGGCTGGTTGTACCATCATCTGCCACTTCAATGGGGCTGCCCATACGTAGCCCTCCATAGACATTGCCATGGCGGGGCCTCAAACCTTTACTACCACTTGCTTAAGAACACCGGAAAATGCAAAAAGCAATATTCCGTATTAAAGGAAATATAGGGAATACTATATTCTTTCTTTTGATTGTATGAGCACATGCTTGGGATGTTGTTGATCTGCGGAGAGGCTTGGCTTTCGTAAAAGCCTAGACGGCTTGCGTGGCAACTCACTGGGGCCGAGAAGTAAAAACGCATCCGCCTCATCTGTTTGGGGTGCGGCGTAGCACAAGATGCTGTTTCTAGTGAAAGTTCTAGTACCTCCTTCTCGCCCCAAAACTACAGTATAGCCGGGTGCTTGCTCTGCCCTAGAACAACAACAACTCTGAACAGCAATCATATGGGACTTTTTTTCTCTCTTGTCTACAGTGCTCGCTCTGCCCGGAGCTCCGAGAGCAGGAACTGCGCGTCCCTGCCATCCAGGATAACAAGCCATGGTTACACAGTTGCTAGCACTCGCCTAAAACATCCTAAAACCCCACTCAAGCAGAACACCGGCGCCTGCCGTCATCCAAACGCACATTGATGACGTACTGCAGTTTGCCGTTCCTGCATCTGGCTTTCTAGGGCTTCCAGGCTTAAAAATTTGAGTGTTTTCAAGGCTGAAGGTGCTTAAGGATACAGCTTGTTTGTTTTCGGGGTCTCGGTCCGTTATGTGTGCGTGTTAGGAGCTTGGGGTTTCTAGGGTTGATAGGTTGTGCTTGCTTGCTTGCTGTCCCGCCATACGAAAGAAGGAAACAAAAGACAAAGAACTAAAACGCCGACAACAAGAACGGTGAAAATACCGACCCCCACGCAGCACAGCCCGGCATGCACGCCTGAACTGGCGGAAGACCGGGAATATCGGGTGGCCGGGCGCCTTGGCCACCTTGCCACTGCAGCCAGCATAGGACCTTGGCGTGGGTGCAAAAAACCCCCGGGTCTTTGGAAACCTGCGTCAAATATCCCTGCAAACCACACGCAGCCGTGGCGCCCCTCCGCCACGCGCACTCGGCTTCCCAGTCGGCCGACCGTGCTCTCGAGCACGGCATCCTCCTTGAAAGGCCAGCATTCCTCCAGCGAGGTCGCCTTGTCTTCTGCCAACGTTCTCGCTGTGTAATGCTTCTCGTGCACCTGCACTGGAACTGCACATCTTTTAATCTTTTCAGCCCGTGGCACATGTCACAACCTCGAATCAGCTACAAGTAGCAGGTAGCAAATAAGCGTTGGAATTACTGCTGGCTGTAGCCTGCATGACAACAGCGTACCGCAGCCGCAGACTCTTCGGCAGGATCGTATCGCTGAGGACCACAAGGTCTCCCACCTTGGCGCAGTTAAAACGAAAACCTCAGCGCCATACTAAGAACACGATCCGATACGTTTTGGTAGGGCTTCCATGAAGCATGCGCAGCCTATATGAAGGATTTTGTTGGACTTATCTGAAGAAGCGCTGTGCATCAAGGACCTCAAAGGCAGTCTTGATCAGCTTACCTTGCGCCCTCCCCGCCTCTGGTTCGCCCATCGGCTTCTTGGGGACCTTGAAGCCCATTCCGCCGAGCTCCGCCATCAGTGCCTGAAGCGCTTCCAAGGCCTCAGCCTGGCCCGGAAGTTCCTGCGGAAGTTCCGGCGGTGGGCTAGCGTCTTCTGCGGGCTCTGGAACCGGCTCTATAGCCGGCTTCGGAGCGGCCTCGGGAACGTCGGCGTCTGCTTGGCAAGCTGTTTCATCTTGAAGTTCCATGAAAGGCCTTGCCGGGCCATACGAGACAGGCCTACCCTTCGGGTAGACCAGCTCGGGAGCCGGGGCAAGGGCTTCAGCAACCGCGTTCGTTGCTTCCATTGTCTCACATGCGTCAGTCACATCAACTGGAGCCTCAGTCAGCTCGACTGAGTCGTCTGGGGCAGGCTCGCCTGCTCCAGCTTGAGGCAACCCCGTCTTGGGGTGAGCCACAGCCGGTGCCCTCGGCGGCCCGAGAAGGTGAGGCAGCTGCATCGCCGCAGCTGCCTTCACCACCACACTGGCAGGCTTCACTACCACACGAATGGTGCGCCGAGTCACCAAGCCAGGTGCTTGCACTGGCCTTGCCACCACGCGAATCGTGCGGCGAGTCGCTACGACAGGTGCTGGCTGCCATCCCCAAGCATAGGTCGGGGCGCGGGCTGGTTGTACCAGCATCTGCCGCTTCAATGGGGCCGCCCATACACAGCCCTCCATAGACATTGCCATGGCGGGGCCAAAAACGACAGCCTCCAGAAGTTTAGGTTTTAGGGTCTAGGGTTTAAGGTTTAGGACCTAGGATTTAAGGTTTGGGGTCACATGCTTGGGATGTTGCTGATCTGCGGAGAGGCTTGGCTTTCGTAAAAACCTAGACGGCCTGCATGGCAACTCACTGGGGCCGAGAAGTAAAACGCATCCGTTCTGCAGAAGTTCCCCTCATCTGTTTGGGGGGGGGGGGGGGCGAGGATAGCCACCACTGTTTCTAGTGAAGTTCCAGTACCACCTTCTCGCTCCAAAACTACAGTATAGCTGGGGATTGCAGCTTTCCGTGCATGTCTAAAGTATCTTGAAGCTTCTTCGCAGATGTTTTAACTGATGATTGAGTGCATGTTAGCGCGCAAATTGTCCGCAGCACGTGCCACTTCCTATGCCCGAAACAATGCCGGGCCTTGCACCAGGAAGGCGATCGTGGTCGAAGTGGACAGACAATCAGGGTCGTGGCCTCGGAAATCGTGCTATGTGAGGCCATCGTCAAAGTCTTCCCCTATACTAAAGCGCCCTCCTACGGCATCTTTATCAACAAATCAGGCGGGGAGCCCTCGAAGAGTGTTGACAGGAATTATGACCCCCCATGCGAGAAGAGAACCCAAAACCAAAAAAACCTAAACTTAAATCGCCTATTCATGTCTCTACCCTGCCCCCCCCCCCTCCCCCCCCCCCCTGGATGTGGTTTGATCCCAAATCGTAGGGTCCCCTAGAGAATTTCTGGAGACCCCCTATTAAGCCCAAACCCTTCAACGGGCTTTCTGAGAGTTTCAGGCCGGGCTGCGGACGGATTTTGGGGACCCTTACTGCAATTCAGAGCCATGACTTCAGGGCAATTCAGAACCATCATATTGGATGCTTTCAGAAACAAGAAACGGCCCCTCCACACTCCTGCACAGGGCTCTTCGCAAAGTCAACTCCGCCCCCACAGTGAAGCAACAACAGGTGCGCCGAGGCGCCTTCCTGGCTTTTTAGGTTTAGGGTTTAGGGTTTAGGGTTAGGGTTTAGGGTTTAGGGTTTAGGGTTTAGGGTTTAGGGTGTAGGGTGTAGGGTGTAGGGTGTAGGGTGTAGGGTTTAGGGTTTAGGGTTTAGGGTTTACTAGCGAATCAGGGAAGACCTTCCAACAATCCTGCAACCCTGACGGCCACAAAAACCCTGTAGTCGCGTAACGCCCCGCCCCTGAATCTTAAACCCCGAAGCCCTAAACCCTGAACTCCTGAACCCTGAACCCTGAACCCTAAACCCTAAACCCTAACCCCTAAACCCTGAACCCTAAACCCTAAACCCTAAACCCTGAGCCCTAAACCTCCGACGCTCTGAGACCCCAGCGGCCTCAACCCCACACCTTGGGTCGCCCAGGCGGCAGTTGTGGAGCCTCCCTGTCAGAGGATGCCAAGGGCAAGTAAGTGTTTAGAGTTTAGGTTTAGGGTTTAGGGTTATAGGGTTATAGGGTTATAGGGTTACAGGGCTTAGGGTTTAGGGTGAGGGGGTTTAGGGTTTGGGGATTGGGTTTAGGGTTTAGGGTCGACCCTCTATAGGGCTTCGGAGATTTCCAAGGGGTATCCTTTTCGGGGATTCGGGTGTCTGGAGCTACCGAAAGTCTACAAGGGGGTTCGGGATTCGGGTTTTGCCAGGGGGGGCACAGCCCGGTGGAGCCTTGGATTGACTTCTTGTTGGCTGTTGCGTTGGGGTTTGAGGGGTTTAGGGTTTCGGGTTTCGGGTCTCAGGTTCAGGGTTGAGAGGGTTTGTGGGTCTATAGGCTTTGTAGGGTTTACAGGGTTTACAGGGCTTCTGGGTTTGTAGAGTTTATAGCGTTTGTAGGGTTTGTCGTGTTTCTAGGGTTTGTAGGGTTTTTTATCCAGGTTATAGGGAATAGGCTATTGGTTCAAAGTTAAGCGGCACCCAAAATCGCCCTAAATGTTCATGTGCATGGTTGAGGGTTCAGGCGCCTCTTCTTCCTCTTCGAAATCATGGCCCTTCTCGCGAAAGTCGCGGTCAAGTTCGGCGGGTCGTACGCCTGCTTGCAGGCACTTGGGGTTCTCTAAACTAGGTGAGGGTTTCGGGTTGAGGGTTTCGGATCACATGTGGGGATCCTTGTTTGCAAGGAAGACTACAAGGGAAGATGTGATAGAAGGTTTATCTATAGGCCGGGTCCTAGTTTAGTAAGTCGGCTTGCGTGTTCGCCACGTAGCATAGTGGCCCTGTCGGCGTCAGCTTGCTCTGAGTCGGCATGCCAGTGCTCACAGGACCTCTTCCGGAAGATCGGAGCTTTGCTGTGCGGGTAGCTTGTGTGATATGATCGTGATGATTACTGCCATCATCCCGATGTCGCGAAGAAGGGTGGCCATGCTGTGTCAAGAAGGCGCAAGATGGATGAGCGGACAATGAAGTTAGTCCAGGCCCACGAGAGAATCGCACCTTCACGTCAGTTACATACAAACCTCCAGATGAAAAGCCAAATAACTAGACAAATTTCGCAAACTCCAACATCTCGAAAAAGCCAGCCCACCAACACGTATGTTTTAAGGTCTATATAAACCAAAACCCCAAACGCAAAACCAAAGAAACCGCCAAATCCCCTTAGCCTTCACCCGTATGAACCTGAAATGAGCTATAGCTGCGGACATCCTACTTGATAACCCACGTGTAAGAATCCATGTACCTTCCCAAATGCCCTAAAGTCGCCCAACACCCTTTGGACTGGTTTGTCAGCCTTCGGGTCAACGGACCCCGGTATCCGCCAAAGCGCCGGCTTCGCCTGTGCCAAGTTCGCATGGAGAGTGGGACTGGGGAGGGGAAGGCTTCCGGGCCGTTGTGAGGCCGTCGACGCGTCGCCGTCGCCATCGTCGTAGTAGCAGTAGCAGTAGCAGTAGCCAAAGCTAGTCTTGCTAGTCCTGTCGCTTTTTGTGTAGGTTTGTAGATCGTGGGCCGCCCTCTCCTTGGTTTCAGAAGGAGCTGTTGAAGTTGCACCCCCCGCCCTTGCGACGAGGAGCTTCTCAAGCAGCCTGCGCAAGAACCAAATCACGACTGTTGCAGGCAGTGTTAGGAATACTCCTTGACTCGCGTATTTGGGGTAGTTCTGGAAAGCTCCTCAACTCGTCCGAGTCAGCTGAGGGTTTAGGGTTGGATCTCGAACCAAAAGCACCAAACTCAACAACATGGCGCAGTAGAGCAGTAGCAGTAGCAGTAGGGGAAGTGGTAGTGGTAGTGGTGGTAGTGGTGGTAGTGGTGGTAGTGGTGGTAGTGGTGGTAGTGGTGGTAGTGGTGGTAGTGGTAGTAGTGGTAGTAGTGGTAGTAGTGGTAGTAGTGGTAGTAGCGGTGGTAGTAGTCGTCGTAGTAGTAGTAGTAGTAGTAGTAGTAGTAGTAGTAGCAGTAGCAGTAGCAGTAGCAGTAGTAGCAGTAGCCGTCGTCGTCGTCGTCGTCGTCGTCGTCGTCGTCGTAGTAGTAGTAGTAGTAGTAGTAGTAGTAGTAGTAGTAGTAGTAGTAGTAGTAGTAGTAGTAGTAGTAGTAGTAGTAGTAGTAGTAGTAGTAGTAGTAGTAGTAGTAGTAGTAGTAGAGTAGTAGTAGTAGTAGTAGTAGTAGTAGTAGTAGTAGTAGTAGTAGTAGTAGTAGTAGTAGTAGTAGTAGTAGTAGTAGTAGTAGTAGTAGTAGTAGTAGTAGTAGTAGTAGTAGTCAGTAGCAGTAGCAGTAGCAGTAGCAGTAGTAGCAGTAGCCGTCGTCGTCGTCGTCGTCGTCGTCGTCGTCGTCGTCGTCGTCGTAGTAGTAGTAGTAGTAGTAGTAGTAGTAGTAGTAGTAGTAGTAGTAGTAGTAGTAGTAGTAGTAGTAGTAGTAGTAGTAGTAGTAGTAGTAGTAGTAGTAAGCAATATACTGGCAAGAGAAACCAACACCAAAACGAACAGCAATTGTAGGTATTGGAAATAACAATACTAGTCATCGTAAAAAAATCATCTTAACCATAATGCAAGTTGAGAAACAATGCATTCTGCAAACCAAGACAAGAAACACAAATAATGACAGCCAATAGCAAGCATAATCATCAGAGCAATAGTAAGAATTGTCAGAATGATTTTACCCTAAACTAAGGGGAAAACACATCAGGATGGCCGAAGAGCAGGATGGCCGGGGAACTTCGACGAAGACTCGTGATACCAATGGGCCGAGACGAAGTTCGACGAAGGCCGGGGGGCCGGGCGAAGGTTCGACGAAGGCCGGGAGGTTCGACGAAGGGGGACGGGGTTCGACGAAGGCCGATACAAAAGGCCAAGACAAAGCCCGAAAAAAAACGCGAAGGTTCGACGAAGGCTAAATGAAGGCCGGAGGTTCGACGAAGGCCACAAGGGCCGGGAGGGGGGTTCGACGAAGGCCAAGAGTTTCGACGAAGGCTAGGAGAGTTCGACGGCCTTTGCCGAAGGCTGTGTGCCATCCGCCCCCATACACCGTCCTGATCGGTTTGCCCCTGATAAACCCTAAACCCTAAACCCTAAACCCTAAACCCCCCCCCCCCCCCAGGTCAACCCAAGACCCGCCTTCGGGGGCTCCCGCTCAGGGTTCACGCCCACTTCCTCGGCGACCTCGAGGGTCAAGGCCACGCATTTGTGGGTTTAGGGTTTAGGGTTTAGGGTATAGGGTATAAAGACTTCTACAGGGTGCGACCCTGTGCCGAAACCGTTCAGGCAGTGTTGGGATGTGCTGGCATGAGGGTCCTGCCCGACACAAGCAACCAAACAACCAAACAAACAAACAAACAAACAAACACACACACACACACACAAACACACACAGAGACACACTCACACACACAAAAACACACAAACACAAGAACACAAGCACAAGCACAAGACCAAGCCCGAGCCCAAGCGCAAGCGCAAGCGCGAGCGCAAGCACAATAACAAGCGCAAGCACAAGCCCAAGCCCGAGCCCGAGCCCGAGCACATGCGAGCATAAGTACAAGCACAAGCACAAGCACAAGCCCAAGCCCAAGCCCAAGCCCAAGCCCAAGCCCAAGCCCAAGCCCACACACGCGCACACGCACACGTGCGCCCACACGCGCCGGCGCGCCTGCATGCACAGGCGCTCTTACAGCCACAAGCAGACGCGCGCATCCTCACGCACAAACACACGCCGTGGAATCTCCCGAAGTCCCGAAGTCCCGTCGAGATGAACTGAGATCCGAGCGTTCATGAGCTTGGTGTGCTGCCTCATCTTCCAAAAAAGATCGTCACCCACCTCGAACTTGCCGGCCTTGGCAGAAGCTTGATCAGCTTAGCCGGCGAAATTCTGGAGTCATCATAAAATTTGGGGCTGAAAGGATGCGACTCCATGAGAGAATTGCAACAAATGCCCTGGGCTCCCCCGCGTTCTCACAGGCTCGGATAGCCGGCATGTAGTTGTCCTCGGGCTTGGACGCGCCAAGTCTGCACGGACCCACCCAACAAGTGCATGTGACTACCTTCAGCTTGGGGAACCCTGAAAACCTTAAATCCTTGAGGGTTTAGGGTTTAGGGCTTCGAGTTTAGACATAAAACAGAATATGCAGCTCGACTGCTGAGGGCCCTAAGCGTAGTCCTCGTTAGGCACGATACTGTACTCCCAGAGCTGGTCTAGGAGGTAGAGCGCCTGTCGCAACGGCCGCCTAGATCTTGAGGGCTTAGGTTTTAGGATGTTTTAGGGCTGCCGGCGATCGCACGATGCCCGGATGAGGCACATGAGGCATACTGGAAGGTTCCTGGGTACTTGTCTACCCATTAAACCCTAAACCCTAAACCAATTTTATGTATGCTTGGAGGAGCGCAAGTTGTCGCCACGATGGTGAACTGTGAAGCCGCTGCCTTTTCAATCTGGTCTCGGGGTCTCGTGGGTCTTTTGTGCCCGGCAGAGCAAGAGGGTTTAGGGTTTAGGGTTTAGGGTTTCAAGACACTTAAGAGGTCTCAGGGATTCAGGGCCTTCTCCCACGCCCAAGCCCCATGACCTCAGCCCGAACCACTGGGTTCAGGGCTCCAGTCTACCAGGCCTTCTCCCATTTCGCGCCCTGCTCGCAGGCCATGAGTGCATGCTCTGCACCAATGCGGAGTGGTGCCTTAGAAAAAGGTCTGGGGTGCAATGGATTAAGGCTTCGGGGTTGTAAAGGGATGTTAGCTTTTTGGTGTGGGTTCCAGGCGGGTGTAAGGTCTGGGACCATAACCTTCAAGTACTAAACCCTGAACTAAACCCCTAAACCCGAAACCCTAAACCCTAAAACTAGGGTTTATAGGGTTCAGATGGACCGACCACCTCTGGGGACATGGGTTCTGGGTTTCATGCTCATGATCGCATCGACGCATAGCAACAGCGTGTGAAGCACGAACCAACCCCCAACTCACGGCTTCATCGACTTCATACCTGCATGGGCTATTATACCCTATAACCCCTTGAGAAGGCCCTTTACAGGGTTGGTTGGGGGGATCGTAAGGCCTAATGGCCCATGCTTCGTAGGCAAGCGTCCATGTTGTACTCCTGCATCTCGTCCAGCGTCTCCACCGCCTCCATAGGGTTTAGGGTTCAAGGTTCAGGCTGGGTGGGGGGGGGATGGTCATTCTGGCATGCTTGCATGTGAGAGTGCTGAAGTCACGCATACTACTCCCCACCTAACGCCCACCGCCCACCCCTAGTGTGCGGATGACAAGTGAATCTATATAAACCTGAAATGCCCCAAACTCAGGGAGTTTGGCAGCGGTCCGCTCGCCTTCTGCCACCAACCCATGGTGTTGTAGGCGACGATGGCGGCAGTGTACGTGGCGGGAGTCCTGGCATCAGCCAGGTCGCAGAGTGGTCCAGCTCAGGGCAGGGGGGCTATTTAAGGTTGAGGAATTGCAGCAGGATTGCAGTATGCAGGGCTTTTTGGGGCTAACAAAGTTTTTTTCTGAGGGTTCAGGGATGAAGCTGAAAGTGCAAGGTGTAAACTTACAGAGCTGTGAGGGCTGGTGCAAAGATGCGCAAGCACTCATGTCCCATCCGCAAATGTACCGAAAGACACCCTCGTGGGAAGCTTGGCAGAAGAATGCAACACGCAAACATGGCAGAAGGACTCTTCTAAGCCTCTGACCTATGCTTGCATGTTGTCGGGACAGAACGTTTAAGGGAAAATTGCAGCCTAGCATTTAAGCTGGTTGACATTTGTCATGTGCGAAGTCCGATCGGACTGCCGGCAATCGTTCTGAAAAAAACGTGTACGCAGCCGTGGTCAGAGTAAATCTTTTGGGCATCGGCAATCCAATGAATGGAGGCCATTTCCGCAAGGTCAGCACCCTTCCCACCAAGTACGATTTTCATTTCAGCTCGTGATGTTGGAAAACTCAGAGGACACAAGCGTAGAGAAGATTCCATCTGCCTGCAAATCAAGCAATGAGCACATTGGGTGAAGTGACAAAAAAAACACGTCGTTTAAGGCTTGAGGGTTTAGGGGTTAGGGCGTAGGGTTTAGGCTTTAGGGTTTAGGGTTAAACTCTACGCAGATGCAGGCATCACATCTCGCCAGGCTAACCTCCGCACCAAAAGCCTTCTCTTCGCGTGCAACCTTCTCATCTCCAAAGTCGTAGCTATACTCCCCTTAGAACCCTAATATAAATATTATTCTTAATATCCTCTATAAACAAAACTATAAAACACAATTCAAGGGGGATATAGGTAGACACACTTTGCCATGGCAAAAGCGGAAGCCGTAGCATGTTTTATGTGAACTTCTCCGAGCCTCATATCTCAGCACGCTGAAAAACCTGAGCAGCCCTCAATCCACCCGCGCGCGCGCTGCTGCCACTCTGAGCCATCAGCTTTCATCCTCCGCCACAATGACAAGGCTTCTTGCGAGCACTTTACCTGAGGCTCAAACGACTTCAACTTCTACCTTAAGTCTGCTAAGTCTGCTGCAGCAGACAACAGAGAACTGGCCATATATAAACCCTGAACTTACCCAAAGGCTCCAATGTAGTTCCTTTTTGGGGTTGGTTATAGGGAATTCTAGTATCCTACCCCAAAAAGGTACTACATAGAAGCCCTTAAGCTGCCAAAGAAAGCTCATCGACTCAGTCCGGTGCCTGGGTCATCTTCTTCATGGCGCACCTGGTGAAACCCAGAGACTCAACCCCTTAATTAAGGAATATACCTTAAATCATATTAGGGTTCCTGCTGTGATTTTTAAGGTATATTGCTTAATTAAGGGGTTTTGGAGTCTCTGGGAATGGGCCCCCTTGGAGGTGTTTGGGGCTTAGGGTCTAGGGGTTATGCTTGTCGGCGAACCCTATACGTCCGGTTTCTTCAGTGTCGTATCCTGATTAGTGTGGACCCCTCCAATAATGAAAAGTTTTCAAAAAGTAATTCAGGGGACAAAAATTTGGTTGCCCCCCTACAATCATGAACAGTTTTTTCGGGCATGGGTTTCGGAAGAGAGAAAAAAGGAGAACAAGATGAGGAAAGAAAAGAGCAAAAGAAGAGCAGCTTCAACTCGGAGTTTTGGAGAGGAAGAGGAGAGGAAGAGGAGAGGGAAGAGGAGCGAAGAGGAAATGAAGAGGAGCCGGTGGGGGGGGCCCGGGGCCGAAAATTAGTTTGGGGGGGTCCTTTTTTTTGTGACACTATTGCGGGGGGGGGTGGATTTAGTTTGGGGGGGGGGGGGGGGGCCCACACTAATCAGGCGACCACATTATTGGGCGCTCAGGGATCCCAGCAAGCAATAAACATGGTAGGTCCGCAAACCAGCCACCCGGCAGATTCGAAGGCTCGTAGAAGCTCAGGGGCATCAGGAAAGGGTGGGGGTTGGGAGGGGGGGGGGGGGAACGTGAGAAGACCAGAACCACCAAGAAGCCAGCACAAACAGAGCCTCCCTCCCCATGGACCATCACCATGTTTGCGACTGCCCCACAGCACCAACTCCCTGACTCTTCTAAACTCACCGCTTGAGGGCAGCAAAATCATGGGCGACATCCCTGACAAGCATCGCCTGAAACCTCGTCTCTCCCTCTAATGAAACGACTAAATGTGCGGTTTAGGGTTTCATTAGGGCTTACTTGGAGATTCATGGTACTTACTAACCAATTATAGCTGTACTTATAACCGGACTTAGAAGTACAGTGATACTTGGTTATGAAGTACCATGAACCTCCAGGGTAGGGTACCTTCGGTACTCTCGGACTTCGCCGCCCGGGATGGCCAAGGCACACGTACTCCCAGCTGGTGACGAAGAGGCCGCGCCTTGTCTGAGAAGCACGCGCCGATCCGCAAAGTCAAAACATTTTGGGGGCTCCGAGAGTGTTTAGGGTTTAGGGTTTAGGGTTTAGGGTTTAGGGGTACAACCTTTTTTGTGGGGTTCTTTGCTAAGGATGGTCGTGTTTGGGGGCATGTTCGGTGTACCCCAATGTTGGGGAAATACCCATACTGGGGCCCTCTTGGGGTTTCCCACGTTCCAGTGGCGTCGATTCCTTCGAGTTGGGAGCCCAAAACTCTAGAAACCCCACAATTTTCTTGTCCCCCCGCCTCAGAAAACAGCAAAACTAAACTAAACAAATCAGCAAACATGTACTAGTGAACATACTAACGCGTGTCACGCTGCAATCTCTTCGAAGATGCCAAATCCCCGAACCTAAACCCTTGGAACCCCTGGAAACCCTGTGAACCCGCCCGTGGACCCTCGAAAACGCTACAAGCCCTGTGAAGCCCAACGAGCCTAAACCCGAAACCCGAAACCCTTAACCGCCTCAACCGCAAGAGTCCTCAGTGCTCAAGGTTTAGGGTTCAGGGTTTCGTGTTCGGGTTTTCGGGGTTTGGTCCTTAACCCTACATCCCCTGATGTACTGAGCTCGTGGCTTCTTCATCAGTTTTATCGACCACCGAGCTTTGCTGGCGGGGCAGTCGGGGTCCTGCTCAGGCACTTTGGGGGCATGCTGAGGGATGCTTACGGTTTAGGGTTTAGGGTTTAGGGTCTAAGGTTGAGGGTTTAGAGTTTAGGGTTTAGGAAGCAGGTTTAGGGGT